TCAGACAACTCAGACCCATGGATAAAACACTGACTGTAGATCTGCTAAAATCCTCGCGCTATCAAATACCCAAAATTACCATAAATTAATAATTGAGTCATGACTTACACTAAGAGTCCAAAATTAGGATAATAGACCTTTTTACCCTTCCTCTAACTCGGCCCAAGGCCAAGGCCCAATTCAAATGTACAAAAGCCCAGAATACAAAATAAGCATTTAAGGCCCAAATATAGCCCAATTTTCCAAATTAGACCCAATCCCTTTCATGGGACTTTTGAAAGGTTTGGAGCATTCTAAAACTCCTATGGTGTACATGCAATCCTAGATGCTTTGGATCTATGTTTTCTCTAATATACATGCAAACTTTGATTTTCCAAAGCATCATCCTAACTAGCATACAATGGAGTATCTTTACTACAAAATTTTAGTTAGATGACATGTCTTTTGTTGTAGTTGGAAACCTTGGACCTTTAAGAACATAGCACTAATAGTATGAATGCCTCAAATGGAATCACAACACACCTTTGGACAAAGGATGACTTTTGAAAAAATATACTTGCACCAAAGTCGGCTCCATGCTCTCTAAGAACACTAGTGTATATAGTAGTCAATTTTGGATGCTAATGGGCTTCTTATATAGTGTGGCAAAATTAGGGTTACACCATGTAAACCCTAATGTGCGTGACCTTTCATATTCCTTAGGCTCCATGGGTTTAAACCTCCATGGATCATCCATGGGTTATCACATGGGTTTAGCCCAACCTAAGGAATCGTGGATCATTGGCCCACACCATAAGAATGAATGATTTACCAAATCAATCCCCATTATTTAATTAGTCTCTTTTGATCACCAAATTAATTCAAAATTAATTCTTGATCAATACTAATTAAATAATATGATTTCATATTAATATATTAAAACTTATAATATATTCATAAACCATAAATAACATTTTCTCAAAAGTCCATCCTATCAAATTGTCCTGGTGATATGCAACCAAAATGGACCATGCTACTATCAGGTTAAGTACATACAAATTACAGTTATGGACTTAAACACTAATCCAACACTTTTTCCTAAGAAGTCTAACAAAATCTCAACATTCCAACCCATGAATTATGATGGCCCAAGACAACCAAGCCCACTCAATCCCAAAACTGAGGCTTAAACAAGAGAAACCCATCCAACTGAGTACGCGGGGCGTACCCATCCTGTACGCTCAACATTCTACATAAATGGCTTGTATGTGCAACGTACAAACTTGTACGCCCAGCGTACTCACCAATATGGATAACTTTTCCATTTTAGCTCTTAACCCAATAAGACTTCGATCCAAACTCAGATCTGAATTCCCTAAGGTGGTTAATCACATAAACCTGCCAACTTTATGTGCATGCATGGCTAATAGGGCTCTAGAGCTCAAAAGAGCTTAATAAACGACTTAAGACCAAAACCACCATAAAGTTTTCACCTTTATGCCCAAGGAACCCTTAATATGTCTAGGTCTAAAAGGCTAAACTCCAAAAACGCCCTTAACTCCCAATCACCAACCAAAAGGAGCAAAATGACCAAAACATGCCAAGGAGTAGATCTATGAAATGAAATAGCAAAGTTTGAACTTTTTACCTCACAAGCCACCAAAAGAAGATGATAAAGCTGGATCTCAATGCCCTCCTCCAAAGAATGAGTCTTCAAGTTTCTTCTTCTCTTACAAAAACCACCACAAACACTCATTCAAGCTCCAAAACTTACTCAAGGCACTCTAGGGTTTCAATATACGCTAAAGGGGATGGAGCCTGACCTAAAATGTACAAAGGAAGGATATAATGTTGCTTATGAAGGGGTAGAACCCCAAAATTAGTGTTTGATGTTGAAGGGAGCCTTGGGCACCCATTAGTATGCTTGGTGTACTCAAAGTGAACCCACGACTAAGCCACTCAATACGCCCTACTTACACAACTAGTATGCCCCGCGTACTAGATGATCTTCCACAACACTTATTTCACTTAGCCATAACTCCCTCGTTCTAAATCCGTTTTCGACGTTCTTTATATCCACAGAAAGGTGACAAGAAGCCCTACACTTCTATTAACTCTCCCTTGCCTTAACACTTCCCGAACAAAAACCCAAACTTTTTAAAGGATCGAGCTCCCAATTTATGATTATACCCTTAGGCTTTGAAACGCAATCGAACACTCGGAACACATAGTCTAAAACACCCACATCCAAAAAGGCCAATTCACTTCTTCCCTAACCCCCTAAGCCTTAGGATAACCAATGATCGGGACATAACCCTAAATAATGAAGTCATTCAAAACCGAGTGTTACAAATGTTCATAATGTGAAACTAGTGCATCATGATACTCCACTATGGTACAAGGTGCCCCATCATGTGCATTTCTAATACTCATGAGTTGTATATCATGGATGAATGTTTTAGAAGATGTTGCATGACAGCTTATATTAGTTGATACCATTCATGGCCAATGGGCTTGGCCCATTAGGGTTTTAGGTCTGCTCCCTCAAGTATAAAATAGGGATGAATGCTAAGTCATTTGTATCTTGAATTTTAGAGTGTTAGTCGAATCTCTGTGAAAATTGTACTTGTAATCTCTGTTTGAGAACTATGAAATAAATAATACTCCCATCCTGCCCGTAGATGTAGGTAACCTTGGTTGAACCATGTAGATATTATGTCTTGTGTGCTTTTACTTTTGCTTGTTATCCACTTTACCTCCTAATAGTAACAACTCTATTAATTCAATGTATTCCAATAGTAGTTAATCTTCTCTAATTTTGACATCAATCGGTTCATATATGAGACTACATTCCTTGATCTTCCTATCCTCTCAAAAAGGTGTATGCTTCTATTAACTTTTCTCGATTTTGAAATCCCTAATTCTCGGATTCCCTAATTCTCGGCTCCCCAAAATCTCACAAGTTTATATATATTAGGATTTTGATATTTATTTGAAGAAACATTTGAACATGCATAGTTTTAGGGAAGAATTGAGACCGAACCAAAGACGATTAAGAAGCTTTTGTTCTATGTTTTTTTTATTCCTGAAGACCATAAATTGTCCGTATTTGTTTATTTAGGATGATTCTCATTTTTTAGAGAATCCAATTAAGTTGTAATTTCAATTATTTACTCTTCCTACTCAGATACACATCTTCTACTGATTATCCTCACCGACTTTTGTGGATGTGATTTCTATTTTCAACTAATAACATCGTAAGGTTTTTATCTAATGTTGCAACTACTAATATGTAATCAATCATCCCTCAAATTTTCTCATACCATTTAATCTACTCAATTTTACAGGTTAGTTATCCTCTCTATCTCTCGCACAACCATCATTATTAAATTGGAAGTCCTTATGGAATTCTCTAAAGTGGAGAGCTTAATGATCTACTCCTTATCAGTTTTTCAACATATTTCACATGTGGTCTTCATCTTGATGTTATCGATCTTTGTAACCTAGAACGACTATTGAGGTGCATCTTACATATGTTATTTGTGCTTATTTTAAACAACTCTTTCATTAATTTGTTTAGTCCTCTATTTGTTATGATGGACATTTTATTTTTTTAGAAATACTAAAGTCGACTCCTTCATTTCATCCCCCAACCATGCGTGTAATAGTTTTATTTTTTCCCATGATATTGAAATTTTGTACTCAAATTGAAGGTGATGTGTGATTAGTAGCTTTTCTCTAGCTATACACAACATGCTTCATACGATTTTATAATAACCTCAAACATAACTTTCAATGGATTACAAATACAGGAATAAAGAAGCTAATTGTCATCATCTTGAAGAGTACATCGAGGCTTGGTCAATTACAAGTTAGTATACCTTCTGATTTCAATGTTATATTCTTCCTCTACACTGCTCACCATGTACATTGCTTATTGATTTTATAAATTAAACACTGCTTGAGAAGTTCCAACAAATAATCTTGCATATTCTTTATCAAATTTATAACTTTTTAAGTTTGTTTATATGTGCATGTTATTTGAGATATATGATTATGTGTCTATACTTTTCCCCTGCCAAGTGTTTTCTAAAATTCTTCGGTAAGAAGTCCTCTTTAGCCCATGCATGTACCAAGATAGAACATCAGTTATATTAAACAATTATATATATATATATATATATATATATATATATATATATATATATATATATAAGGAAATTAAGGTTTACAATATATAGTTTACATGTACTTCTTCATGGTCAAACTCCATTCTCATTCCAATTTCAAAAACATTCATTGCCATACTATCACGACTAAGGACTTCTTGCAATCTAGACCCAAACCAGTGAACAAGGTGATTAAACATTTACAATTTATACTCATTTTTTTTATGTTTTTGGAAGTTTATGTGTGTTTATGACAATCTAACTGTTGATGTATATATGTTTACTTAAGGTATGTCTTTATGAAACTCTAAAGTTTCTGTCTGTTTCTTATAATCTGATGTGTGTGTGTGTGTTTCTAAAATTTCCTGAGATTTTTTTTACTCTAACTCTAAACTTTTCTATGAAATTTAGTTGCTTTTGTAAGAAGATGTTATGGTGGAGTATACATTATTTGAGATTCATCTATGTTCCTAACATTTAATCCTTATGCATGATCATTTTGATGTAGCTTTCATACACCAAAATATGTTTTCGTTAGCACTCTTGGTGTTAGATTATGCCACATTAATGATTAATTTTGGTTGTCAGTAGCGTAGGCAAAGATGGAGAAGGTAGGTCCTGGGACCTACATTTTTTCTTTTCTAATGCATTAAGGATGTATAAAAAAATAAGGACCTATCTTATTTTTATCAAAGGAACAACCTAATTTCCTCTTTGGCAAAAAAAATTATTAACAACCCATATCTTTCACATTTAAAAGTCCACATCAATTAATCAATAGCCCAATCATCCAATGATCCATTATTTTTTTTAAAAGGAAAAAAAGAAATAGAAAATAAGAAACCGAACGTCGTATGGTGTCTCGTTCTTAGATTCTTGATGTCTACCTGTACTTGTTCCAAAATCAATCACCATCCAACGATCGTCAACTGCTCCGGTCACTGTCCAGATAGGTCATCGGCGTCGACTTCCTCCAGCCGTCCAACGACGGTCGACAGCAGTCCAACCCATCAGTTTCATCTCCCCCAACACTCAGCCAACAACCTCGTTTCACGCTTGTAAGTTATACAATTTTAAATTACATCTTTCTTTTTGTTTGAAATCAAAACCTTGGTGGCTTTGTATGATTAATGATTATATAATACATATCAATTTCATTGACCTATTGATCAGAGTTTAGAAAATTTCTATATTAACATTTGATTAATATACATTCAATTTTAGAATTTGTTTAGAGTTGTTATTGTCTATTTGATATAAGAACATTGTCAATGTGCTAGTTGTTATTGTTTATTTAGAGTTGTTAATTTGTTATTGTCTATTTGATATAAGAACATTCAATTTAAATCAAGAATCAAGATTCAATCATTCAAAAATGTCTTGTATAAGTTTTATAAAAAGAAAGAAGACAGTGAACACTAACATAAATATACGAAGGTTGATTTAAACTCACTATCTGTTGATCCATTTGAACGAACAAGTATATAACCCGACTCGAATACAACCCGATCCGTCACCACTGGTATTTTTTACACTTTCATATTTTTTAGTTTCATTTATATAAGGAATCATGTGGTTTTTTGTGCTAGATTCGCCATTGTTGGTTGCAGATGATTATATTTTCTAGAGGAAATTTTGCCTTGACAAATACAACGGAAACATTGTGAATGGTTTAAAAGTCACAATATAGCTAAAGTGATGTACTGAAAAAGAGGATTATGATTTTAAATATGAACTACACCAAATAGAATTTTTACTTTCATTATAATGTCATTCATATCGTTCAAATTTCATTTTAATGTCCACTGTAGCCTAACCAACTTACATGTGTTGGTTTAAAAAGTCCATCGTGTTATTTTTTTCCTAAGGGTACGAATTCATGTTTTTAGGGTTTAAAATGTCCCGTTGAGAAAAATCAAGAGGTCACCCAGTGAACCCCTTTCTAATCAGCAAGTATAATATAACACTTCAGTTAATAAGATGTCACCTCATCAATTAAGACGACAAGTTCCATTCATCAATTAAGATCTTTCTTTCTCTCTCTCTTTCTCTCTCTCTCTCTCTGTATCTCTCTTCCCCACACCGTTAGAAATCCCTAGTCCCCCGTTTCCTTCCACCGGTGACTACCTCTACCATTCACTTTATCATGTTTTTCTAACACTATGAACAATCCACCATCTGTTGGAAATAGGCATCCAATATCATAACTAATTGGTGTAACTTTGGGAATAATAGCAAATTCCTTTTTTTGGGTTGCCCTCAAGAGCAAGAATAGCTAGAAATAGTTTTAAGAAATTGAAAAAATAGTTTATTAAATTATTATATGATTAATAAGTTAATTAGTAAATAGTTGAAATTAATTAGAATTAATTTGGAATTAATTTGAGATTAATTGGAATTAATTTTGAGGTACAAGGATTGAATGATAATTGTTCAATAGTTGAACAAAGGGAACATTTTGGAATCCCACATGGTATGGACGGTTTTAGGACTCCTTGGAGAGTTTCATAATTGATCCAGGTAATAGATAAGACAATGATTTGAATATTGATTAAATCCTAATATTTAATTGATTCAAATCAGGGTTATTTTGTTACCACCATAACTATATATAGGGACCTGGGGGTTCTCATAATTTTGTCCCTCCTATCCCTCTGGAAAGGTTAATAATTTCAATTCTCCCTCTCCTTCTTATCTCTCTCCTTAGTTTATAGGGTTCTTGGTTTTTAGGTGTGAAACATTAAAGGTACTCTACTTTGGGTACTAGTCTTTCAAGAAACAACAAGAGATTAGAGAATCAAGCATCAAGATACAAATTGATTTTGTCTAAGCTTATCATTCTAATCTTTTTCTTGTATAGCTTGTTGAGTCAGTTTTAATAGTACGTTGCTATAATAGTAAAACTTAGATCCTATTGGTAAAGTGAATTACATACCTAAAATAAATTTGTTGAATGATTATGTTGTCCATCTTCATAAAACGAATTGAAAATATGGATCATAGCTTTAAAATAAATTGGGTAATTATTTAAAGGATTAAATCAACTAATTAAACTCTTTCTTTCTCTCTCTCTCTCTCTCTCTATCTCTCTCTCTCTCTCTCTTTTATAGATGTCGGATCAAAATGATCTTCTTTTTTTTCCTCCTCTACCCACCAACTTAAACTTCTCATTTAGTTTTGTTCTCCAAAGAGAAACGCTCACTGGTAGTGCCAACTACCTCGACGGGATGAGAAATCTAAGAATCACAATGAGGTGCGACAATCGTGAGAACGTGATCGATGATCCAATTCCCGATTCCTATGAGCACTCAACTGATGAATAAAAATCCCTCCATGCAAAACATGTCGATGACTCGACTAAGGTCACTTGCATTATTGTAACGCCCGCATATTTGGACTAGTTAATTTAAAGATAATAAGCGTTAAAAATGATTTTTTACTAGAATACTATTTAGGATAAATAATCTTAACAAAAGTTATAGTATATTTCACAAGGATTCAGTACATATAAAGAACGTTGAAATCCGACTTATAACGAAGAAGTTATGACCCGTCGAAATTTCGCAATTAAACCGGCACGACTTCGCGTATTGTAAAAAATAAATTTTTGACAAAATATTTTTTAACCATAGTGATATAAATGAAATTCATAGTAGATGTTAAACAAAGAGCGTGCATAGAGTGAACGTCCAAATCTGACTTCGTTAAAGAATGTTATGCTTTTTCTAAAATTAAGCGTAGCAGTATACAACTTGAAAATCGAATTTTAGATCAATCGATTATTAGCCGAAACAATCTAAACAAGAATTGAATATCTCATTAATAGGAACCCAACGATATAAAGACAGTCGAAAACGGACGCCGGATGACAAAATTATGAATTTTTAACGGACTTTAACTATCTAACCATGTTAAAATATAACTTTAAAAATAAACTCAAAATTAGCTTACAGAGTCTAAACGAAAGTTTTAGATCACATCGATACCTACTCGCTTATATAAAGAATGTCAAAAACAGAGCTCATATGCGAAAGTTAGGGATTTTATAAGATAATTAGCTTTGGGATTAACCAGAAATCGACATGTGGCATGACCTAAGACCACACCTTCCTCCCCATGGCTTGCCACCAGATTACGACATGTGGCATGAGTATGCCCAACATAGCTTGCGTACGCCCAATGTACTGCAGTACACCCCACATACCCTTTGAGTATGACCCACGTACTCGGTTGCTGGCAGTTATATATAGAGCTCGAAAATCACTCTTTTTTCACACCTTTCTATCCAACTCCCCCCCCCCCCCCCCGCGGCCACGATGCCTTTTTCTAGCACTTCCTAGGTGTTAGTAGCGAAATCCCGAAGCGCCAAAAGTCCCCAAGAAGTAGAGCTTTTGGCTTGGAAGTTCTGCCTGCGCAGAGTCCCGTTTCTCGCTAAACCACATGTAAGTTAAGTTTACCGTACTTTATGTATAACTTATGTTTAAGTTCATTATTGTTATTATGAACCTATAAACAAGATTTATCAGTGATTCCAAGTCGTTATACTGATTGATCTACTTACGGGGATGATGTCTAGGATGGATTTAGTGAGGTGTTTAAAGTGATATTTCCAAACAGTATACTTTGTATACCAAACGGACCCTACCTCCGATATGATCCTACCTGGTTGTTCCTTACTTGATAGATCTTGAAGTAGACTTTGAATTAATGATGAATCTAGACTAATAATTAGTCGCATTAAATATTAGATTAAAACTTAGTAATACTGATACTAGGTTACGCCAAAAGAAAAGATAGTTTCTAGAAGCGTAACGTTGTCCAAATTTTGAGTCATCACTTTAACAAGTGAGTGCATAGTTACTTTCATCTTACACATAGATATGAAGTATTTAATATTAATACATGCTATATGTGTTTATTATCTGTGTTCCTGATATTTATGCTAGATGAACGATTTATACATGTTTTACTTGATTCAAATTGTATATATATTTTTATACTTATAAATATATTGGGTAAAGATCGGTAGATGAAATATGATATGGATGATGAGAGATGAAAAATGATATAGATGTTGAGAGGTGAAAGATAATGAGAAGCCTTGACTTTAAAGCTGATCCAGTCATCTAAAAGAGTATAGATGACAACCACAAATGATTCTAGACAACCCAGTGGAACGCTAGCAGACTCGTAACCTATAGGTGTTTTTGAACTATGTGTTCACCAGATGTACTCTAGAAACCCTAGCATTTATGGACTTAGTGGCATATAAATGAACATTGGCAGTTATGGATTTAGTGTCTAATAGATAACATTGGCAGTTGTGGATGTAGTGCCTAATAGATAACATCGACAGCTATGGACTTAGTGCCTATTAAATAAACCCTGTAAGCGATAAACTTCGTGTCTATTCCTTAGGACAATCCTTAGGAATAAATAAATGAAGAATAGAGCTACCATAATTTAGGTACCAGTCTCCCAAGAAGCAACAAAAGATAAAGGAATCAAGCGTCAAGACACAAATCAATTTTATTTAACGTTAGTATTCTAATCCATTTCCTTTATAGCTTATTGAGTCGGTTTTAATAGTACGTTGCTATAGTAATAAAACTTAGATCCTAGGATGCATTTACACTTAGGATAATTTATGAATGCTTCCGTTGCTGTATCTAGTGTATAGTTAAATAGAAATCCCAACACCATCATCTGCAACCAGAATTGGCCACCTACACCATCATCGTCCATCTACCTGAAAAATGATTCTTTTTAAAGAAAACTGATTCCTTATGGAATCCATGCAAGATTATCAAGGAACAAAAACAAAAACAAGTGAAAGTGAGAACTCAGCCAGGAACATCTCTGACAATCAACATACCTTCTTTATTAACCACCTCCTTGTACGCCAGATAGATCACATTATTTATTGAAAAGTGAGATTCGTCCTGTAACCAGTGTTATGAGGTTTTTCATAGATGATAAAGACATTGTTTTACTAAAACAAAGAGAGATAAATCCAAGATTTAGGATTTTATGTTATCGAACCATTTGAATTCGTTATACCTTTATAAAGCTCTTAAAGGTTATGGTTTAGTGGCATAAGGGTTAGAGATGTTGTGTGTAGATCTTGTATTTTGGGTTTCAGATGTTGTGTAGGTTGTAGAGATGAGACAGGCGGAATTTGGAAGATACGAAGAAGACGATGAAATTTAGGAATAATTGAAGAAAACATTTTTCATACCTTCCCTCCTATTTGGCATTAGATACCTATTATGCTAGGCGACTTACCCAAATTAGTGGGTAAAACTCAAGTTCATGCCCTTAGGACACAAAAAATAAATAAGATAGGAGACCTTTTAAAATCAAACACATAAGTCGGTTGAGCTACAATGACAATATTTAACATTCATTTTGATATCGTTTATTATATTTTTTTCAATTATAGAATTTAACCTTCGTTTTAATGTCGATTATAGCATTTTACTTTTTTTTTTTTTTTTTTTTTTTTCAATTCTAGCATATTGTCCATCTCTTTCATCTGAAAAAAACATGGAACAAAACTTTAAAAATGTCATTTTCGACTTTTGTAGATGTAGAGAAAAAAGTTACTATTTATTGAATCTTTTGATTTCTACACATTAAGCACTAAAAGTACATTGCCTTATTCTGATTTCCCCACAAAGTGCCGGCAGGCCGTTCTTTTTTTTTTTCACAGAAAAAATAAAAAAATTGAAGCTTATTGCTATTTTTTTTATTTTTTATTTTTTACTTTTGTGATCCAGGTTGCAACATAGATGTAGAGAAATGAAGAATACCTCATTACCAAAGCTGAGGTGCTCCTGCTGAAATGAAATTGTTGACTTTATTTATTTTTATTTTATTTATTTATTTATTTTTAATGTGTAGAGAAATGAAGAATACCTCATTACCAAACCAGCAGGATCATTTATGTAATTTACTCAATATATAATTATGTGTGTAATACTAATTATTCTTGGTATTAATACATTCATTTGTGCTGTTAAGGATGAATTAATGAAATTACGTCCGCATTTATTGAAAGTAACACTAATGTAACAGGAGTTTTAGCGGTGAAATGCATATATAAAATAAACGTATTCTTTCATCAGTAGTTATAAAGATTTTGTTCGTATGAAGTTAGCTGAAGTCTTATAAATATGGATATTTCTTCTGATGAATCATCGACATCTATCTACCAAATAAGTCGAAAATTTGAAGAAATCACCTCGACGGCTTCAAAGAATAGCGAATGAGCGACTTTTAGGGATCTTTACCAATATCAAGGATTTTGGTATTACGATGGATTCCTACAAAGGATTCTGCAAGCTCAAGAACAGTTCAAAGCTCAGGCTACTGACATCATTTTATGTACGACACCTGACTCCGATGCCTTGAGGCTCCAAACCTTGGCTTTTGCAATCATGAATAGGACTACTACTAGTTGATTGGAATCTGGAAATGCTTTGCAACCCAAAATCCCTTGTTTGGAAATGGATCTTTTTCCCATGCACAAAGATTATCTAGAAATTTCTTCGAACCCTAAATTACCCTTATTCACAACACACATACCCTACACTTCTCTTCCAAAGTCCATCATAGACTCAAAATGCAAGATTGTGTACATGTGCCGAAACCCTAAAGATGTTCTTGTTTCACAATGGCGTGATATAGGGACTACGGATTTGGATAGGATTCCTTTGAACCAAGCATACAAATCATTTTGTAAAGGGGTTTCAAATTATGGGTCGTTTTGGGATCATGTGTTAGGGTACTATTCTTGACGAACGAGAAGTTAGAAACTGAAACATCTTTCAATGTAAGAAGATTGGCTCAGTTTTTGGGTCGCCCTTTTTCTTTAGATGAAGAGATGCGTGGAGTTGTAAGAAAGATTTCCATGAAGAAAACTAAAGAAATACAAAGAAACAAAGATGTTGAAGATCAAATGGATTATCTTTCTCAAGAGATGAAGGATCATATAGATCAAATCACTAAAAACCGGTTCAAAGGTTCGGGTCTTATAATTGGTTAAGGCAGTGTTATGTGCCATCGTTACTTATTAATTTAGAAGTAGAAAATTTTAATAAAATTGAGCGAAACTCCATAGTTCTTTAAATAGATGTTAGATAAAAATATTTCGATATATAGTATGATTATGTGGGTTACACTCCTTCCTAGACACTTATATTTTGCATATTAATGAAGTTTTTAACTTTCTAAAAGGACAACATTAACTCGATGAACCTAACAGCTATTTATTACTATTTCCTTTCATATGCAACTTCATCATGTTTTATATGCTTTAAATAATATAACTTTTTTATAGTAATATAACATATCTAACTAGCTAGGCATTATTACCTTCTTGGTAAGTCGCATTCCTAAATAATTTTCACAAATTTAGCCCGACACATATTTTATAAGCACATACCCTGCTTGAGTAATGAATATAGTTGAGTTGGAAACACTATTGAATTTCTCCAACAATAAACGTTTAAATATCGATAACAGAAAAAAATATACGAATGAGCCTCCACTCTATGGATAAAAAAGACTTTGCTTTTCGTATGAAAACCTCTATACATCTTAAAAATGATTTTCCAGATAAATAAACAAATAATGACGAAAAAAAATGCAAAAAATAAGATAATAATTAAAAAATAAGTGTTTTCAAGACCTATGGGTTGAACTGCATAACCTTTGGTGCAATTCTCAATAATCTGTCCAAAGCATGAGGAGTAAACTTTCTTGCAAACAAATGACATGTGTGGTTTTTCCTCCCATTATACTCACAATGGCTATCACTCCTTAACTTCTCCAAAAACTGGACTGTCACATCATACCTCGTATACCGTGCCGGGTGGGGTCCACCTTTTGACCAGTCAACAAAAGTCAACGTTCGTCTGGAGTTCCTTCCTCCAAATTTCTTGGAGACAAATGTCGGCAAGTAATGCTCGTCCGCATAACAAGATCCGTTGCAATATTTTTGAAAAACAGGGAAATACGTTTTATCTGATATTACCTCCAATGCTAAATCACGATCCATTTCAAACCATTGGGACCCTTTTCTCCAATCTTGGAGTTTAATGGTAGGATGCATTTTTCGGCTGTAACGCCCTCGGCCAACGGGGCCCATTAAATCATAGGACTCAACAAAATTTTGATTCGAGTTGATCAAGTATGAGTAGACTGTTGAAAAATTGAAGAGGGGAATACATGCTTCTGATAGAAGAACAAATCGTTGGTTGGAGAAATCAAGAAGCGCGTTGGCTAGCAGTCGGCGTTCGGCTTCGACCATGTTGACTTTTCCCCATTGAACTTCCTAAAATCAATAAATATTCTTCACACAGGTTAAATACAAGAAATGGTAATATACTTTTGTTGATTTGTTTATTATACAATCTATTTCATTTCTTAATTTCTACTACTAGATTTACTATTATCAAATATACCTCTAGTTATAGTATTATCCATGATTTTTTAAATATCTTCAAACAAAAGAAATTACTATACTATACCACACATGTATAAAAAAAACATATTCTTTTTTCATTGTATTTAAACCCATTAATTTCTCTAGCCACATGCGTAATAAATTGTAGATGCCCTACGCCCATAATAAAAACCACATGTAGGTTGTTGGACCAAACAAATAATTTCAAAACCTTTCCATTTACAGTTCTTAGCTTTTTTGGGCGTCGGTCATTGAATTATTTGGTGTTTTTAAAATAATTACTCAAATTTCTTTGTATTTGAAACATAAAGAGTATTAGAATTAGCAACAGAATGATTTGTGCTTAAATTATTACCTATTTGCATTTATAGTTACTTACATAAATTATTAAATGCGTGGTTAAAAATAGCATTTTGGAGAAGATAATCGAGACAAAGATGGAAATGATTAGAAATATGATCGTAAACTAAAATACATTTGTTTGAGATGAGAACTAAAATGGATATATATGATTATTTTAGTCATGGATTATTCAAATCATTTTAATTTGTAAATGTAATTAAAATATTACTTCTTGCCCTTTTGGACGTTTGGTTTTAGTGATTTTTAAGATTCTATTGGATACTACTAATTTTCTGTCGGTTTCGAGTTTTAATTATTAGACATATCTACCCCTTTAAATTTCCTTAAACATTTTCTTGTTGTTCGTTTTGCTTTGGTAGTTGTATGAAAGGGACAAGGGAAGTACAACAGATTAGGCAGACTGTACAACTGATAAAGCTAAAAGTTACGGGAGAGACATTAGGGGTATAATAGTAAATTCAGGCATCCATTTTCTTACCTTACTAGGGATTCTCCGGCCATGGAAAACGGAGTGTTTGGGTTCCGTTCGGTTAGAAAATGAACCGGAGCAATGGACGTAGATGTTGAAAAGACCATTATGCCCTTTGAAGAATCGTTCCCACAACGGAGACAGCAACACCGGACCTCTTGTCAAGAACATGAACGCCACCTTCGGAGTTCTGTGGAATGGATAGTTTCTCACTTTAGGAACCATGGATGCTCGCCAAATCAACTCTTGGTCAGTCATCTGGTGCATGATTTTCGATGGGTGTATGAAATCTTCCAATCTCATGTTCTGTGTCGGCGGCGGTGGGAAGTCGGCGGTGGTGGTGGTGGTGGTGGAGAGAGGGAATTCGTTGAACAGGAGGTTCAAGGAGACATTTTTGAGTTGGAAAGCGAGTAATATGCCAAAGCATAAACCAAAAGCGAAGAAAAGGATCAAAGAGAGGAGATTTGAAGGTTGGAGTGGAGCATTGAAGAGCTTCAATGATGGAACTACTGTGTTTTGATTGTTCTTCATTGTTTCAGAGGATCAGAAACAGCTTTCAGTTTATTTCTGAATGGATTTCATTAAGGAACGAAAGATCAGTTTCACTGTAGGGTTTAAGAATGGAGATAATGGATTTTGTATATGGTGGGGTGTGAGATTAAAGAAGAAGGCCTACAATGTCGTTTGGGGTGGATTTACTTGGTGTAATTGACGACTACTACAAAGTCTACAAATACATAATACAAATATTGCTTCGTGTAGTTTACGACTACTAAAAGTCTAAAACACAAACATTCGTATAGCCTTCCCGAGGGTAATTTGGCTAAATGACAAAATGGTCCTTTGTCTTATGGTCAACTTTCATACGTGGAGCGTCTCATATGGGTTGGTCTAGTCAACACCTTGACAATTCGGATAGACTTAGTTTCGTATTACAAATGGTAGCAATAGCATGTGATTGTTAAAAAGTGAGCCATGTGCCATATTTATACACATAAAAGGTTGATATGGACATAGGCTACATACATGTTAAAAGCATAAAGAAATTGAATCAACTATTTTAGAAACTTTTTATAAAGTAACACAAAAAGTTGTATTGCATTTCATGTATGAGGCTGATGTCAATAGGACAAAACAATACATTTTTTACATTATTTCAAATGTTAGAACAATGTGAGATATGATTTCATTTTGTTCTATATAACTACACAGATTAAGATACTCGTTAAACAAAACAACAAAACATTAAAAAGGAACTCAAATAGCTAGAGAGAAAATCAGTATTTGTGGATTTGCTTACATGTTGTAAGCAATATCTTCAAAGATTGCTTGTAAACATTTTAAGCATATCGGCTTCTGGCTTCCCCTTGCTTAAATGTATATTTCGGTTTTCGAGTACAAATGTTAAATTTGGAAGTATGGGGGCCATTAGTGAAAGATGATGATAACCTTAAGGGCCATTATTTCTTTTATATGGCTTTTGGGGTGCATATATAGATTTCTTAGCTGAAGTGTAGGTTTTATATTAATATTCCCAGTAACAGAAATATATAAAACAAACTAATATTCTTTTATTATTTGACATGTGTTGGAATATACTTTGGTAACCCAAACAAGAATTAAGTTCCAGTTGGAAAATTGGAATGCAATATATATATATATATATATATATATATATATATATATATATATATATATATATATATATATATATATATTATTTAAATTTCCATTGTCATCGTTGTGTCGGTAGACTAGTATTTTAGGTCTAATAATTTACCATAAAAGCATAAATACCTATGGCATTTTATCAAAATAAACCTTAAATAAATTAATAATACTTCAAATATTGAAATGATATCTAAAATTTGAAATATTTTGCATTTAAAAATGTAGTAAAAGATATGGCCATAATTCAAAATGTAATATTAAATTTAGAGTCAAAGTAATTCAATGAAAAACAAAACAAATCACAACTTATACTATTTATATAAGTAGGATGTTTTCAGAAAAAAAAAACATCAAATCAAAACTGAATTCACAAACCGGAGCGAATGAATAATAATAATAATAATAATAATAATAATAATAATAATAATAATAATAATAATAAATGTCAACTTTGCCATGCGTTCTATTTTTTATTCAAGAAATTTGACCATCCATGCAATTCTGTTTAGATTTGGTTATCTAAAAAAACAAAGAAAATTATTTATAATTATAAATATGAAAAATAATGATTGATTGTAGCATGGAGATGGTATTTGACTTTTATTAACGAACTCTAAAGTCATATGAAGAACATGCAGTGAAGACTGAAGACAATACCGGAGAAGTATTTTGTTGATTTGGTCCGCAGGCCTCCACCATTGGACGCCGGACGCCGGATGAAGGTTCAATGATAGCCTCCATGTCCCTCCCGATCAAAATGCCCTTATTTATGTTATTACCTTTATACCAATTTACAGAAAATTATTGATAAACAGAAACAATGAGACCTTTACGACTTAGTTTTCTTTGAGGATATTCAACCTCAAAATAGATATTCAAGCAGCGTTCTTGAAAGTCTCAATGAATATCATTGTGGTTTTTGGTAGAATTGATGAGTAATTAAGTAAAGAATTTCACCCTTTTGATCATAATTATAACGTAAAAAATTTGACATTTAATTGAAGTCGTTATTTAGATTAACTGAGTTTTCAACCAACAAAAAACTGTCAAAGCTGATCGATGTTGCTCTCGGCAG